TTTTAAGTGATGCTGATGGGGCACATTGGAGGACCATATTCTAAGTAGCAAGGTTTTGTGATACTGTAGCTAAGATCACTGCTATTGATGCCCCAGCTATAGCCCTTTGGCACTGTGACAGTTAATCCCATGGCTTCCTACTGCAAGTATCTGCAATTTTCGCTTGAGGGCTTTTTGCCTGAGCACAGCAGGCCCAGAAATACTGGCGAGTGAATTTGTCTTGGACCCTCCAGCAATGACTGACAGGGGTTGGCAGATAAGTGCACCAGATTCCTTGGCCCTTCAATGGAACGACTCTGAGTCATGCTCCAGAGTTTCCAGAGGGAGTGAGCTCTAGTTGTCCACAGTGGTAATCGGCTCATTGAAGCCTGGCTTCCTTCCCTTCCTTGTTTCACATTCCAACTTCTCTACTGGCACTTCCTGGGATCATGTACAACTTCACCATGATACTGCCCCTATTATCCTTCTGGTGGTCATCTTCTCCCCTGGACCTCTCGTTTGATTATCTTTGCTTGTAGGTCCTCCTCCTAAAATGGCTTTCTCCCCATCTCTTCCAGAAAACATTTTGCTCTAACTCTTATAGGTCCTTCTAGTCTCTCCTAGGGTGACCAACTTGTCCCAGTTTGCCCAGGACAGTCACAGTTTTAAAACTGAAAGTTCAGTGTCCCATGAATCCTTCTCAGTCCTGGGAAAATTAGGATGGTTGGTTACTTCCTTCTTCCTCCAACTTAGCTTCATCTTCATAATCCTCCTCTACCAAGTACCACCTCCTCCAGGAAGCCTTCCCAACCCAAAGTGTGCACTCTAGCACAGCTCTTAAATACCATGTTTACAGGTCTGTGCCCTCATCAGATTACCAGCAACTCAAGAGTGGGATGTTTTATTCACTTTTGTACTCCCAGAGCCTAGCCCATTGCCTAGCTCTTAGTAGGTTCCAGTAGATGTATGTGGACTGGAAATAAAGTGTGAAAGTGCTCAATTCCTGTATGTTCTCTTCTCTCCACTCCTAGGTTCTCTGAGTCTACTGCTACCTCTAACCTCATGAGAGAAGAGGAATTGCATCTGTGTGGTCATACCTGGGTCTTTTTTGGAGATTGTAGGCATGACAAGGCATATACTCTTGGTCACTTTGCTTTTGATGATGCCTCTGCTGGTCATGGTTGGGCACAGAAAGTGTACTTATGAACACCACGGATGCCAGTCCTCACCATTATCCCTGTATCATTGCTCACCACTGTGCCATTTAGACACAGAGTCAGACCCTTATCATTGGCACTGTTACTTCTCCCAGTACAATCCATGCCTAGAGTGACAAAAAGGAAAGCAGAGTGGTCTGGGTGGTATCAGAGAGCTAGGAAGTATGGTGGGCCACTGGTTTAGTTTTCTACTGCTGCTGTGACAAAATAATACAAGGTTGATGACTTTAAGAACAGAAATTTATTGTCTCACAGTTTTAGAGGCTAGGAGTCCAAATCAACATGTCACCTGTGCCACGCTCACTCCAAAGTCTCTAGAGGAATTCTTTTCTTGTCTCTCCAGCTTCTAGTAGCCCCAGGCATTCCTCGGCTTGTAGATGAATCATAACATAGCCACCCTTCCTCTGTTTGTCTCTCAATGCCACTTCTCCTCTTTTATAAGGATACTACTCCGATTGGATTACAATGTACCCTATTCTGTGTGACCTCATGTTAATTTAACTGATAACATCTTCAAAGACCCTATTTCCAAACAGGTACCAGGGGTTAGGACTTCAACATATCTTTTTAGGGGAGACACAATTCAACCTGTAATGGCCATCTTCAGGCATGGTTTTCTCAGGTAGTCTGAGGAAAGGGAAGGGGTTGGCTGTCTGGTACTCAGTGGAATGAACTTCTATTTCCCTTCTGTTTGTTTCTAAGATCAAACACTGATAACAATCTCAGGGTGTTACCTGGTTATTAACAACTCATTTAGTGCATAATGTAGATTGTACGTATCGCATCTCCTAGAGCCATTTATTTGACAACTATGTGTTGCTGAGCCAGACACTGTGCTGGCTGCAGGAGAGACAAAGATGGAGCTACCATAGTTAGGGAAGACCAGCAAGCAAACAGCCATCATCATATACTATAACTCAGTTAAACAAAAGACATGTCTATGGTTAAGTTCTTTGGGAAGTTGCTTCCTCACCTTCCTTGTTTCTTGCTCTTCTCTTCACCTCAGCTTAGGATGGGAACCAGAATAGTGACCAGTCTGATAGCTATCGATGACATCCTCTTGAATTGTCTGGGCCATGCTTCCATTAAATTGCAGACTGTCTTTTACTAGCTGATTTCTACTGTCGTTTATAAAAGCTCTCAGACTCTGATTTGTTCAGACACTTTAACTTGCTATCCAACTGAATCGAAAACTTCAAACTTTTTTTTCTAGGCAAATAGTAGACTTTCCAACACCAAAGATGTTGAGGTCTATGAAAAAAACAAGTAGATGGAAAGCTAAAGGAAGCGACATACAGCAAACCCAAAGGCTATCCTTGGTGGTACTGATGGTTAAGCGCTGAACTACTAGCCAAATTTTGGCAGTTCAAATCCACCCAGAGGTGCCTTGGAAGAGAGGCCTGGTGATGTGCTTCTGAAAGGTCATAGTCTTGAAAATCATATGGAGCAGTTCTACTCTGCACACCGAGGGTCACCAGGAGTTGGAATTGACTCGACAGCAACTAACAACAATAACAACAATGGCCATCCCACCGAAGTGTTCATTGTCTCACCTCTCTGAGCTCTGAGACAACCCAGATGTTAGATGAATGATATACAACAAGTCTCAGAAGGAACCCATGGTCTACATCTGAGATGTCATCAGATCTGGCTTATCTTGAACCGGAACCAAGAACCCCAGGCTGGAAGCCCAAGAACTCTGAGCATTCTGGTTCCCTCCTCTTTCCTATCTACAGTCACTCCCTCGGTGATCTCAGATCTCAGGGCTTTAAACATCATCTGTGTGCTGATGGCATCCAGCTTTGTATCTGCAGGCCAGACCTCTCCCCGGAGCTCCAGCTAACTGCCTGCAATTTATCTCTCCTTGGCTGTCTTAAAAGAAATCTCAGACTTCATATGTCCCAAACTGAGCCACTGAAATACACTTCATTTGTCTTAAGCTGGGTTCTCTAGTGAAGAAAACCAGTAAAGCATATAAATATATACAGAGAGGGATTTATATCAAGGAAACAGCTGATGCGATTGTAGAGGCTGGAACATCCCAAGTCCATGAATCAGGATAGAAGCTTCTCCTGATTCACGTACCTGCAGGGGCTGGTGAACCCAAGACCAGCAGGTAGGAGAGCAAGGCTCTTGTTCACAGGCTGTGAAGATCGATGAATCTCAAGAACAGCAGGCAAGACTGCAAGGCTTCTCCTGATTCACATAGCTGTAGGAGCTGGTGAACCCAAGATCGGTAGGTTGGAGAACAGGGCTCTTGCTCACAGGCTGTGAAGATCAAGGAATCCCAAGACTGGCAGATAAGCTGCTAGCTCAAGTCCCAAGAACTGGAGGTCAGACGAACAGGAGGCAGCTGCAGGATCCAGAGCAGGCAAAAGCCAGAATGTACACTTATATTCGGATGCAGCCTACAAGCCCAAGGAAACTCCCTTTCAACTGACTGGCTACTCACAGCAGATCCCATAATGGGGGTGATCACATATAAACACTGAGAATCATGGCCCAGCCAAGCTGACACACAATCTTAACAATCACATCATTCTACCTACTTCTTGTCTTCCCCATCTCGGTTGATGACAACTCTCTTCTTCAACTGCTCAGGCCAAAACCTTGGAGTCATCCTTGACTCTTCCCTTTCTCTCACACCCACATCAATTCATTAGCAAATTCCATAGGTTCTCCCTTAAAATCCATCCAGAAGTTGGCCTCTTCTTACCATATCCAGTGATGCCATGTTGGTCCAAGCCCTTATCATCTTTCATTGCAATAATGTCTTAGTTGGTCTTCCTGCTTCTGCCTGCTTCTAAACTCAACATAGCAGCCAGAGTGATCCAGTTAAAACACAAGTCAGATTATGTCACTTCTCTGCTCAAAACTCTCCAAGGGCTCCCATCTCACTCAGAGTAAAAGCCAAAGTCCCTACAATGCCCTCCAAGGTCCTACGTAAACCCTTCCCTCTACCCCCATTATCTCTCTGATCTCATTTTCTGTAATACTCCACATCATCCACTTTGTTCCAGCCACACTGGCCTCTTGCTGTCCCTCCAACATGCCAGGCACACTCTCAGCTTGGAACTTTTGCATTTGTTGTTCTCTCTGCCCCAAATGCTTGTCCCCCAGACAGCTGCACAGTTCTCTCCCTCACCTCCTTCTGTCTTTATACAAATGCTAACTCCTCTGTGAAACCTTCCCTCACCACTCTGTCTATTGGCGACCCCCTCCCACCATGCTCCCCAGCCTCTTTCCCTGCTTCATCTTTTCCCTTAGCCCTTAATCACCATTTGATCCATTATGTTTTAATTATCTGTCTCCCTGGGTAGAATGTAAGCTCCATGAGGCACACTTTTTTTGTCTATTTTATTCATTACTGTACCCTCAGCCCCCACAAGAGTTTTGTCACATAGTAGGTGCTTATTAGATATTTGTTGGTTCAGTGAAGGAAGTTTTGAGACAGAATAAGCATGCCACTCCTCTTCCGTGTCCCCCACAGAGGCCAGTACATAGTAGGCATTCAGTTGCTCTTGTGGGAGCAGGAGGGAGCTTACAAGAGCATATCTCCCAAACCCCCTACCATTTTCAGAGGGACTGGGACAGTGGTCCTTAGAACTGGTCAGAGAGAGTCTAGCCTAGCCACCCAGTCACCTCTGGGAAGCTGAGGCTGTCAATAGACAACTAGTTTCTCGCTTCCACATCACGTGTGCAGCCGTGGTGAAACCAGGAGGGAACACTCTTTCCTGCCCCTTGGGGTGGGAAAAGAATTCTTCCTATGAGCGAGGTTCAAATCTGAACTCCTGGGATGTTCCTGTTTTGATCTGTTCTAGCAATGACGGCTTTTATTTTCTCAAGAGGTTGTGTTCCTCAGATCATGCCAAAGCCTGGGAACAGTGAGGGCATTAGGACCAAGAGCAAGACTCACTCACACTTGGCTCTGGGTTGTGTCTGGCAGAGGGCTCTTCTCTGAGCCTGAGTGAGGAGCTATGTGTGAAAGGAAATCAGACACTGCCTGCCGGCTTCACATCTGTTGATCTGACCTGACTGGAAGCATCCAAAGGGGGACGGCTGTCAGCTCTGCTGGACTGAAGACCCACCAGCTCACCCCAGACGTCTCTTAGCAACCTGAGCGTTCATGCAAGGGGGGCCAATGAAACATATGGGACTGAACACCTGAGCAGAATGGAGTAACTATTTTCCTGAGAAGAAAAAGGGGGCACAAGGGGAGCAAACCTTTCAGTTTGAAGTCCCTGTGAATGGGCTTTCAGAGGCAATTAGACAAGTCCACCCAGACAGAACCTGGGGTGGAACCTGGGTCCTGTGGCTTTCTGATTGCAAGTGGAAGTGCATCTTGCACATGCTGTTCGCAAATGTCAGATGGAAAGAAAGGAGCAGGTTAAGTGAGAGGCGAAAAGCTCCCAGGTGGAACCAGGAACTCGAGTTCTGCTGCAAGCTTGAAGGCACCTGGAGCAGGATGAGAAGGCAAAGTTGAACAACATGACCTGTTGCATTTGGCAAGTTCCAGCAACATGCTCTTAAGGAAGCGATACCGGCATGGACTGTGCAGACTGCAGTTCCTGCTGCTGCTCCTAATGCTGGGATGCGTGCTGATGATGGTGGCCATGTTGCACCCTCCCCAGCAGGCCCCGCGCCAGGCAGGTGCAGCCCAGGCCGGTGGGCACAGCCCTGAGACTGGGTACCGCCTGGACTTTGGGGAATCCCAGGAATGGGTGCTGGAGGACGAGGACGAAGGCCAAGAGTATGGCCCCCTGGAGGGCCTGCCCCCCTCGATCTCATTGAGGGAGGATCAGCTCCTGGTGGCTATGGCCTCACACAAGGCCAGAAGGAACCAGAGCCACAGCAGGAGAGGTGGGCACTACAGGCTCATCAAGCAGCCGAGCAAGAGACAGGACGAGGAGGCCCCAGAGAGGGACTGGGGGGCAGAGGAGGAGGATGGGGAGGTCTCTGAAGAAGATGAGCTTACCCCGCTCAGCCTGGACCCCTACGGCCGCGCGGAGGCGCTCAATGCCCACGTCCCCCTGCGGAGGGCCCTGCCTGAGATGCGGCACCCACTGTAAGTAAGACCCTTCTTTTCCCTTCCCCCACTACTGGGGTGGGGGAGCAGTCAGGTGGCAGCCAACTCAGGGGTGCAAACTTGCTGCACTCTACCTCCACTGTCCTCAGAGCAGTGGTTCTCAAAGTGTGGTCCCCGGACCAGCAGCAGCATCACCTGGGAACTTGTCAGAAATGCAAATTCTCAGGCCCCACCCATGATTTGCTAAATCAGAAACCATGAGTGGGGCCCAGTGGTCTGCATTTAACAAGTCCTCCAGAGGAGAACCACTGACCTTGAGAACAGAAAATGAGGAACTGTGGCTTGTTCATTCTCTTCCCTGTTCTGGGTTCTGGCCCTTCTGTCTCTGGATTACCTGGTCAAATAGCTTCATCTAAAATGCAAGAGGGGGGTTAGAACAGCTGTTCTGCAAGGCAGTTCTAGCACCTCCAAGTTCTAACACTCTGACTCCAGTACATTTGATATCATAGTTGTTGCTGGTGTTTGCTTTTATCTTGGATCAAAATAACAATCACGGCTAACATTTATGTGGTTCTTGCCACGTACCAGGCTTTAATCCAAGAGCTTTTCACGTATTTACTCACATCATCCTTACAACTCTTTAAAAATGGGGGTTAGTATTTTCCTCATGCCTATTTTATGGTATGAAAATAAGGCACAGAGAAGCCAAGTAACTTTCCCACAGTCACACAGCTAGTAAGTGCAAAGCAGGGATTTGAACCCAGGTAGTCCAGCTCCGGTCTGCCTTAACCAGCTCTCTGTGCCACCCTCTGGGGCAAGCTGATTTGATAGTTCACTATATTAAGGGAATAGTTCCAGTACCTACGAGTGAGAATACCATGCTGACCACAGCCTAACCCAGCAAGGTGGCCCCAACCCCAGGAGGCAAGCTGAGGGTATGGATGGCTACAGCAGAGCCATGTCCAGGGAGGTGGTGGCCACATCCTACACTATTCCAAACCTCACACCACCACCACCATGGCTGGCCACGAGGATTGGGGGTGGGGGGGAGGCCTGAACACCAGCCAGGAGGTAACAGGGGGCAATGCCTCACTCACCTCACCCTTGTCAGCACCCTGCTACTTGGACTTCAGGTCTTAGTTTAAAGAGCTCTTTTCAGGAAGCTCCCAGATCCATGCCCCCTCCCCCAAGCAGCCTGCCACCCACCCTAGTTAGCTGGAGTGATCTAGATCCTTTCCTCGTAAGCCATTGCCCTTCCCAGAGCCCAGAAAGGCTCCCGGGAAGCAAACCCTCTCTAACTCTCCAGGTGAGAGGACCACACTCCTCAGGTCAAGTAGTCCTTGGCAGGGCCTGGGCTAAGCTAGGGTGAGTGAGGCGCCTGGAGCACAAAATTTAAGGAAGTGCTCACTCTCAGGGTTGGGGAAATGTGGGGTCAGCACCTGAGATTGAGCGCCTCCTTAAATTTTGTGCTCCAGGTGCCTCAGTCACCTCACCTGCTACTGGGACTTCATTCAGGTCTCAGTTGAAAGAGCTCTTTTCAGGAAACTCCCAGGTCCACCGCACCTCCCCCAAGTAGCCAGCCACCACGCCAGTTTGATGCTCTCTCTTCACCCTGGAGTTTTAATTCGGAGCCCTTGTTCCAGCCAAAGCTAGTGGTCTTTGATGTGTTTATTTTGTCAGTGCCTGCTTCTCCTGGCATGCTGTGGGCTCTGTGGAAGGCCTGGACTGAGTCTGTATTGTACATGCCAAGGCCCGACAGACAGCGAAGAAATGGTTGCTGAATAATGAATGGATATATAGTCTTCAAGAGTCTTTTGCTTTATTTTCTCATTAGCCTAGAGCAAGAATGAGTATTTTGCCAATAAGAAACATTGCCTTGACTGAGAGGGTCTCTGGCTGCCGAAGGGGTTTGTGTGACTGTGTGTCTGCGTTGTGCAAGTGCGTTGTACACAGACATATTTGTGGGTGCATGGTGTATGTGTGTGTACTGTGTGTTGTGTGTACATTGTGCTGTGTGTATTGAACAGTGCTGTGCATTGCATGTGTGTTGTGTATGTAATACGTATGTGGTGCACGTATGTGATACCTATCGGATGCATGTATGGCGCACGCGTACATTGCATATGTTGCACGTGTATGATATGCACATGTATGAGTTATGTGTTGTGCATGTGTGTGTTGTGTGTTACACGTGTGTTGTGTGTTACACATGTGGTGCAATGTGCACGCGTACTATGCATGTGTGGACATGTATGTGGTGATGCAGTGTTTATTTTGCATATGTTTGTGTGGTGTGTGTGCGTGTGTATTGTGTTGTGCATTGCATGTGTATGATGTTCATGCATTTGTACTGTGTGGGTGTGCATTATATGTGTTGTGTATGTATGTTACAAATATGCTTTGTGAGTGGTACATGTGTCCACGTGCAAGCATGTTTTATTTTTGTGTGTGGTATGACACGCATGGTTGGATGATGTGTGTGTGTGTAGTGCAAGTGTGGGTGCATTTTGTGTTGTGTGTGTGTGATGTGCCCATGTGTCTATGCATGTATGTGTGGGCACCATTTCAGTAGTTGCTTTTTCCAGCCCTTTGTCCAGACCCTCCTCCAGCTAGAGTACTGACTCGTCCCTGTTTGACCAGGACTTTCCCAGTGGTTTTAGCCCGTAAAGTCCTGCTGCGCTGCCTCTGCTGCTGTGGGGGAAACCCCTCAATGCCAAGCAAACCTGGACAGTTGTTCTTCACTCCCTCAGCTTGCGGCTCTCACAGGACAGCCCCCAGCTCTGTCCAGAGGTGTGTGGCGCCCTCTGCTGGACCTAGTCTGTCTTGGCAACCTGTGCAGCCCAGGCTTTGGCTTTCTCTCCCACCTGCAGTTGGGACCTTCCCTTCCTGGCAACACTCCAGAAACACAAGGGATTCCCTGAAAAGCTAGGGGCCAACTCCCATCCTCCCTCTAGGTTGATATGACACGCCTCCTCCTACCACTTTACAAACTGAACCAAAATACAGCACATAAAAAAACAAAACAACAACAACAAAAAAACTCCATATAGTAAGCACCTACTGTGTGCAGGGCCCTGCGCTGCTGCTTTCCCGCTCAGGGCTTGGAGAAGACTGGAACACTTTGGGAGTCTCTGCCTCCTGCTGCAGTGTCCCGGGTGACACCGTCTGGCCCCACTCAGATACCAGACTCCAGGGCCTTTTGCAAGTCCATCCTTATCTACTAACTCAGGCAAGATCTGCTGGCCCCTACCCCAAAACCCCAAACCAATCCTGGCCTCTGTTTCCCCTCTTCCAGGTCACAGGCCTTTTCTGACACCTTTAGTGTCATAGCTGGAGATCAATTTGAAAAGGGGGCATGCAGAGAAAGTTACTAACAATGCAAGACCAAAAACAAAAAATCAATATGAGAGAGGTCAAAAGACAGCTTCTGGAAAGAGAGGTGAAATTATGGTGAACACTTATTGAGTATTTACTATGTGCCAGAGACTGTGCTAAATGATTTTCCTTCATTTAATATTCATATCAGTATATCAACCCTATAAGGTAGGTAATATTATCATCTTCACTCTATGGATAAGAAAACGAGGCACACAAATGTGAAGACACTGGTCTCAGGTTACCTGACCAGGTGTGTCTAACACCAAAGTCATGCTCTTAACCACCATACTTTCTGTCTGCCACTTACCAGACCCGGGCTTTGGGAAAGTTACTTGGGACGGAAGCATTTCAAATTCTTCCATCTATTAAATGAGAGAACTCATACAGGCTGATGAGGAGATGTGTAGAAAGATGTTCATCACAGCACTGGTGGTACCGAGGAGTCGAAAGCCATCTGGGTGTCTCTCAGCACAGGACAATGGAGGAGGCGGATGTACCCTATGAAATATTAGGTAGGAGTTCAAAGCAACAGGTTCAGTGTGCACTCAGTGATGAAGACAGTCCTTAACAATACCATGCTGAGTGAAAAAGCAGGTAACAGGAAGAAGTCTATAGCACAATACCATTGAGTAAAGTGTAAAGTCCATGCACACTAACCAACAGGTGCTTTACAAGAACAAATAAAAGAAGTATTACATTCACTGGGATGGTCGTGCTGTGAATGAGGAGATCTTGGGAGAGGGGGTCATGGGAATGGAGATGGGGACAAAAGTGAATATTAATAAATATTAATATTAATATATTGAAGGGCCTATGATAGACCAAAGATGAAAATATTCCACTAACTGAGGAATAGGATTAATTCAACCTTTCAAAGCAGCTGTCAAAAAAGAGGGCAGGAAGGAACAATTCTTGCCCATTTAGCCTGATGTAGCATCCACAGTTTTTAAAGCTCTTCCTGCCCAAGATGTCCTTTGATCATCCTGGCATCTGGTGTAAGGGCAATTGGTTCCCAGGATCAAAGAGGCTCTGTGTAAGAAAGTTCTTGGTAATCTCTGTGTGCAGGCAGTAGCTTTCAAACTTGAGCCTACATCAGAACACCTGGGGAGTGCTTGCTAAAATACAGATTCCCAGTCTCCACCTCTATAGTTTCTGACTCAATGACAGCTGGAGGTGGGGTCTGGGAATCTGCATTTCTAACAAGTTCCCAGGTGATGCTGAAGCTGCTGATCTGGGCACCACACTTTGAGAAGCACTACTCTGAGGTACATTCTTTATGTCAAACAGGTTGGCCAGAGCAGTGCTTCTGAAACTTAAGGTGCGTGCAAATCACCTGTGAATCCTGTTAAACTACAGAGTCTGGTTCAGCAGGTCAGCGGTGGGGCCCAAGATGTTGCATTTTGAACAAGCTACCAAGTGATGCTGAGACTACTGAGCCACAGACCACACTTCTGAGCGGCAAGGGGCTAGACTACCAGTTCCCCAGGTTTTGTGCGTATCAGATTCCCCTGGATTGCTTGTTAAAAATATAGATTTTCAGACCCCACTGCTGGAGACTCTGATTCCATAGTTGGGTTGGAGCCTGATAGTCTGAATTTCTAAAAGCCAGTGCCAACAATCTGGGGAATCACTGGTACAGAATGCAAGCGGGGAGACAGTAG